GATGAATGGATAAACTGAAATATAGTCATACATTCCAAACTGGAAACAACTCAAATATTTATCAGTAGATGAATGGATAAACTGAAATATAGTCATACAATGGAATATTACTCAACAATTAAAAAATGAATTACTAATTCATAAAACAACATGGATGACTGTCAAAAACCTTATGCTAAGTAAAAAAAGTCATCAACAAAAGAAAACATAATGTATGCTGCTATTCATACGAAGTTCTAAAACTAGCAATACTAATCTACGGTGATAGAAATTAGAATTAGTGGTTGCCTGGGATGGGTGGGGAGACTGATGGCAAACCGGCAGGAAGAAACTTTCTAAGATGATGAAAATGTTTTATATTTTCACTCAAAGGTGGTTAATTTGGGGCAGACACCTGTCCCAAATGGATGTGTTGAACTGTACTCTTAAAATGCGTGCATTTTATCATAGGCAAATTATATCTCAATGAAGTTGCTAAAATAATAATTAAAAACCCATAAAATACTTAGAAATAAATCTAACAAATATGTGAAAGACCTATGCATAGAGAAATATAGACATTATATAAAATGTTATAAGAAATGAAAGATAGTAAAGACCTAACTAAATGAAGAGATATACCATGTTCATAGACAGGAAGCTTTACTATCATAAAGACATTAATTATCCTTAAACTGATCTACACAGTCTATGCAACTACAACTAAATTCCAAACAAGAACTTATATAAATCTTTACAAGTTGAGTCTAAAATTTACAGGGAAGAACAAAGGTCAAGAAAAGCCAAGGCACTGATGAAAAAGAAGGAATGAGTACTCTTCCTTTTAGAGATTATAACTTATTATAAAGTTATAGTGATTAAGACAGTGTAGTACCCACACAAGAATAGACAAATTTACCAGTGGAACAAAATATATAGCCCCTACATGTGTGTGTGTGTTGTGTTATGAACAACAGCATAACTTTGACATAACAACAGTTTTCTATATATAAAAGTTTCATGTACAGCAGAGGTGGTATGTCAGATCAGTAGGGAAAGGAAGGAATATGCATTGGTTATCCACATGGAAGAAATGAAATTGAATCTCTCTTCTATTATACACAAAATCAATTCCAAACAATTTAAAAAAAATGTCAAAAGCAAAACTTTAAAACCTTTAGAAGTAAAAGTTAAGGATGTCTTTCTGGCTTTGGTGTAGGGAAAGATTTTTAAACAAGGCACATAAAATGCTCAGCATAAAAGACAAAATTGATAAAGGAGACTGCATCGAAATGAAGAGCTTTTAGGGGCCGGCCTGGTGGCGCACTGCTACAGTGCGCCGCTTGGGAAGCGCGGTGGCACTCCCACTGAGGGTTCGGATCCCACATACAGACCGGCTGCTCACTGGCTGAGCGAGGAGCGGGGGCAATGCCGAGGGTTGCAATCCCATAGCCGGTCCCGGTCCGGTATGGGCGCAACACTGAGGGTTGCGGTCTGTTGCCGGTCACGAACAAAGACAAAAAGACAAAAAAAAAAAAAAAAAAAAAAAAAAAAAAAGAAATGAAGAGCTTTTATTTATCAAAATAGGCCCTAAAGAAAATGAAAAGACAAGTCATAAACTTGAAGATGATATTTGTAGTACATATAAATGACAAAGGAATAATATCCAGAAACATAAAATACTCTTATAATCCCACAAGAATAAGGCAAACAACCCAATGGAAAAAAATAGGCAAAAGAAAAGGAAATACATAAAGTTAATAAACATTTAAAGAGATATTAAACATCAGTAGTCATAATGATAATGCAAAGCAAGACCAAAAAAATGAGATTAATTACATCATTTAATTGTTGAAAATTACGACACATTGGAGAGGAGATGAATCATTGCTGATCAAAGTGTACATTGTTATTATAACAACTTGGAAAGATAATTTTTTGTTATCTTGTAAAGTTGAACATTTGACCGTCCTATGACTCAGAAATTCCACTCTTAGTTGTATACTAAAGAGAAATTCTCTCATATGTATATTGGGGGATAGGTAGGAAAATGTTCATAGCACTATCTTTGTAAAAGGAAAAAATAAAACAATAATAGAATTATATAAAACTTGATATAGTTATACAGTGGAACGTAGTACTATGAATCCGAGTGGAGGAATCCCAGTTACAAATTGTTGAATAAAGAAAAGCAAGTACCTGTGTGAAACCCTTTTTATAAAAAAACACACAAGAAAAACTAAAAAAAAATTTTTAGGTGTATGCATGTATGTGATAAAACTAAAAAAAATAAATAAACAAGGGAATTATAACACACTCCAGGTTACCTCTGGGGTGATAAGTGGGGGACAGGATAGGGAAAAAGCATGTAGGTAAATGTAAATTACTAGTAATGTTTTCATTTTGGGGTCAGTAGGTGGGTTCATGGATATTTCATTTTCATAATATTATTAAATTAGTAATAAAAGTAATATGCTATTTATAAGAAATGAAGCTAAAACATAAGCACATGAATTGCAAGTAAAAGAATGAGTTAAGGTGATTGGTTAGAAGATCAGAGTGCATTATACATAGCTGGGATGAGTAATTTTTCATGAGACTTATTCCAGTTTATGTGTGTGTATAACAAGTGTAGGTAATGATTCATGATATAAAATATATTTCTTATTTTGAATTGTGGTAAAAAAAAAAAGTTTGACAGCCAGTACCCTAAAGAACCTTCTGCTGAAGTACACCAGCAGATATGTACAAAAAAGTTCATAGCAGCATTGTTTGTAATAACAACCACCACCAAAAATGTACTACCCATAGGAAAAGGGATAAATATTCATATATTGGAATACTTTAGAGCACTGAAAAATAAACAAAACTATGTGCATCAAATCATATGAATCTCAAAAACAGAATGTTGAAGAAAAAACAACTCATAGAGGCATACAAGCAGTGTAATTCTATTTATATAAAGTTTAAAGGTAGGCAAAACTAAACAATAGTTTAGGGACTCATACATATGAGTCCTAAAGTAATAAAGAAAAGCAGGGGAATGATTAACATGAAATAACCTAGGATAGTGGTTCCTATAGGGACTGGATGGGGTCAGGGATTGGTATGCTGGGAGCAGCAAGGGTCCCACAGGGGGCTTTGAAAATACTGGTGGGTACACAAGGATTTGTTGCTATTTAAATTATTAAATGTGATGGTATATGTACTCTTTTGCATGCATGAGAAATCTATAAAACAAATGGAAAATGCTGGCAGCAGCTTGTGCTCTCTGGTCCTTGCCCACTCCTCCAATTTAGAGTCATTGCCTCACCCCAGATTTCCTCCCAAGTCTTGGAACTGGCATCCCCAGCCCCAGTTTCTCACCCTCCTGTCCATCTTCCTGTCACACTGCTACCAGACAGGCCTTCCTAAATCACATTTCATATCATGCCACTCTCCTGCTCAAGTACTTTCTGTGGCTCCCTATTGCCCACTCCATAAGCCAAAACTCTTCAGGTCCACATATTTACCCCCACCTGAAGTAGCCTTTCCCCTCCTCCACTTTTTCTCAAAATGCACTCCAGCCCAGGGACTTCCATTTTCCCATCTTGTCTCACAATATGGCCCTCTTCTATCCCCTGCCTCTGAGGCCTCCCTGTTAGAACTCTGTGACTGTAATAAGCTGAGGTCACAAAGCCCCCAGGAAGGAGAGGCCTCCTTCTCAGAGGCGAGGATTCCAGGAGCTCTTGGGCTGGAGCTGGGCTTTGGTGCTCAAGAGAGGCTTGGAGGGTACTGTAGCTCCTTTCATCATGGTACGACTTATCCACATGGCTCATTGGTCACCTGGGAAAGGGGTCTTGGACTCCACCCAGATCTGCTGGACCCAGCCAGGCACAAGCTTGTTTTCTGTGTCTACAGCTTTTGGGAATGGGAGCAGAAAAGTGTGGGCAGTGGGAATACAGCAGAGATTTGTGGGAGATGATGTTTGCAGTCTGTCCTTATCCATTCCCACACACTCCATTTGCCCTAGAAAGAGATTTGCACTGGGTCGGTGTGAATAATTCCTACTCTCTGGGCTGAGAGGTGTGTGTGACTTTATCTGTCCCCCAGGGTAGAGGGCAAAGAGCCTGGGCTTAAAATGCAGTCTGGCCCAGCGTTGACTGGCAGTGCCATTCGCTTCCCTCTGGGTCCTTACTTCCTTGCAAGTGGTAGATGTGCTGAGCATCAGCTTGCCCAAGGAAAGACAATGGGGACAGTCACATTAACCTGGCCTACTTCCCAGGGGGTCTTGAGGCCACAGTGAGATGGTGGCAGTAAAATATTTTGAAAGTGTCAGGCAATGTGCAAATGTTCATTACTGTTCCCAGGCTGTTTCTGCACTGGCACATGGAGGCAAGTGGCAGGAAGGGAAAAGGTCCACCAATTTTGTCCCTTGTAGATTGCATTTCCTGTAGTGGCCATAGGTTTGGTGAAGGACCTGGAATCTGGATCCCTGACACTGGCTTCTGATTAATAGCATTCATCAAGTTAAGGAAGTTTTTTCATATTCCTAGATTTAAAAAAAATTTCTAAAATTAGAAATCATCCCTGAAATTTTAAAGATGTTTTTTGTACTAATTTACATGATCATTTATGGTAAGTTACAGTAATTGATTTCCTAGAGTTTCACTACCCCTATTTCTGGGATAAACCCTGTGTGATATCAGTCCAAAAGCTCACCTCCATAGACTGTTGTCCTGGGTTGTTGCCTTTGAGCCTGAATTCAGGCTACCTTTGGCATCTCCAGGCCTGGTGGAGCACCAGCCATGGTGCCAGCCCAGCACATTGCATCCTTCCTGCAACCTTTGGGCATAGGAAGGATTATCATCCCCATTTCCCAGATAGAGAAATGGATGCCCAGAGAGGTTAGATGATCTGCCTGTGATAGCAGGTGGATGGGTGGGTACTGGAACCGTCCTGTCTTTGCCTGCCCTCCTCACCTCCCTGACCCTGGTCTGCTCTGCTGCCCCGTCCCCCAGTGTGAGGAGATAAAGGCCACCATGCAGGAACACACGCAGAGCCCTAGGCACAGCAAGGAGGATCTGGACAGGCTTAACCAGGACATCCAGAGGCTGATCATGGAGGTGGACAGCACTAAGAATCAGGTGAGAGGTGGGGGCGGGGGGCAGCAGAGTGGTGGTGGGAGGGTGTCCATTATTTATGACAAATGGGCTAGAGGACTAGACCTGTCCCCCAACTCTTTTGGAATAGATGGGTAGAGTTTCTCTTTGTGAATGTCTGAGCAAGCGGGGGGTGTGGCTGCGTGTATATACCAGGCTTACCTTTGCATGTAACTAAATATGTATGAATACCCATGCTTGTTTGTATACTATTATCTTTTTCTATGTGGATGTACATTTTTATGTCTCTATGTTTTGTTTGTCTTAGCATCAAATTTGAGTCTACCTTGAGAAATTCCAAGATTTTACCTAGAAACCCAGTTTTTTGGGTTCTCTTTAAAAAGGTGAAGATCTGGCAATTTACCACATGGTAACATTGGGTTAGAGAAGAGAGACCTCTGTCTTCTCTATCTTCTCACAGAGTGTAATCTCCCTGGTGTGCTGCAGTCCCCACCACTCCCAATTGCATCCTTTGGCACCAAGACAGAGAGTCCTTTGCCATTTATCATCACCCTGGCTGCACTGTTAATATCCTTGTAGAAGAGAAAAGGCTCTGAACCTATGTCTCTTAAGTAGAGAACTGAAAGACTGAAAACATAAAAGAGGTCCTGGTGATTTCAGGAAGATGGGAGAGTGCAATTTCTTTGTGGCACTGGATACTATTGATATATGTTTAACACTTGGCCTTCACCTTTTGATGCTTCCAGCTGAGCCCCTGTAGGCACTGGCATCTGTCACTTGGGCTTTAAGCCTTAGAAAGGAGAGGCTCCCCATGGATACTTTCTTTTCCCCGTCTCTCTTTTTTTTCCTGCAGCCCTCTCTGTCAAGCCTGCTGGCGCATGTCCCACCCCACAGAGGGAAGGGTTTCTGCTCCCGGTCTTTTCTTGCTTTCTGCAGATACAAGTGTCTCAGGCTTGGAGGGATATTCATGGGTGTGTGTGTGTGTTTGTCCTCACTTGTCCAGGGCCTGATGACTCCGAGGAGGGACGGGCTGTTTAGGTTCCAGGGGGGCAGAGTGAGTGGGTGGGCCTGTCATGGTTCAGTTTCACACAGCTGCTCTGACTTCCCAAGCAGCAAGTACACCTCACTAAGGCAAGCGTTTATTATTAGTTTTTCCCAGAGACCATGAACTCTAGTCTCCTGTGAAGAAAGGACATTCCTGATAGTTTTCTGTATGAGACAATAACCCAGAATTATGTGCTATGGAGCAGGTGCTGCTTCTCAGATCCTAGCTTGTATTAGAAGTGTCATCATACCAGATGTAAAAGGCTCTCTCTCTGCCATCCCAAATCTGCACCCTGAGAGCAGAGTGGGTGGGTTCTTTTCATCCTGCGGTATAGACACACAGACACAAGCTTTGGAGCAGGCATGCTCACTGCACGGACAATCTCCAGTCCTCATTGGTCCTCCAGCCTGAGGAAGTTCTGATCCTTGCTGGGGGGAGGAGTAGGGGCCAAGGATGTCCTTCTTCCCTTGGTCTTCTCTTCACCCCCAGCCCTGTGAACTAGAGAAAGCCAAGGACCTGCCAGCCCTGCAGGAGGAGAGGGCCTCAGGCAGTGCTAAGGGCAAGTTGTCCTGGCTGGAGGTCGCCCTGCAGCAGGCAAAGCAGGACATGGTGCGGCAGCTGCGTGAGTACCAGGAACTCATGATCGTCAAGCTGAGCCTGGACTTTGAGATCGCCACCTACCGCAAGCTGCTGGAAGGCGAGGAGAGCTGGTGAGGGCTGGGAAATGTTTCAGATGTGGCCACTGGGGTAGGAGTGCAGGGGCACAGGGTGGCCACCACCCTCATAAGCTGGGGAGGAGTGGGGAGAGATGACCTGGTATCCAAGGATTTGTTCTCCTGGAGCCCATTTTCCCCACCATTTTACAGCCCTTTGAACAAAGTCCTAGCTATGAGCACCTTTGGCACCTGGAATGGGTGACTCATCAAGTCATTCACCCTTAGTGATCAGGGGCCGGTCTGTTCATTGAGAATGCTGCAGGGACCAAGGCCCAGCCAGTGAGAGTAAGGTCCCCAGTGTGAAGTGCCCCTCACCCCCAGGCCTGAGGAGGTAGGGATAAACGAACAGGCAGGCGGTAGGAAACCAAGGCTGTGGGAGGGACAAAGAACTGAAGACCACCATGCAACAGGCATAATGCACTGATGATCTCCTTTAAAACTCACAAAAACCCTGTGAAGGAGGAACTGTTATCCCTATTTTACAGACGAGGATACTAAGTCTCAGAGAGGGTAAATGACAGCTTCAAGGACACTCAGGCAGAACGTGATAGGGTGAGGCTTGAACAATATTCTTCAGACAACTGAGCTGTCTCTACTGTGGTCTTCTTTAAAAAATTTAAATGTTCCCTCCCACCCCCACCTCCACCTCCCACTTTTGAAGATCAGGTTAGGCCAAAGAAAGTGTAGATCTTTTGCCTTCTCCCACCTTCCAGAAGGACTCCCAGAAGTCCTTTTTTTGATGACTCCCAGAAGTCATCAACAAAAGTGAGTGATTTGAATTTAAAGCAGGAGGGACTGAGCTTAAAGGTCTGGAGGGAGATTTGACTGTGGACTGTGGGGATCAGAGAGAACCAAGGAGACTGCAGGACGGAAATACTCTGCCCGTCTGGGGAGGGTCAGGAGCGTTTGTCTTGGAGAATGGAGAATATTAAACCTGGTAGGATGATTCACTTACCTGCTTCCTTCTCCCGGCAGGCTTGGTCTAGGATTTGGGGCAGGGACTGTCGGTAAGTAAATAATAGGCATAACTTGGGTTAGAGGGGTCAGATCTTCTCTTATTCTCCCCGACCCCTCCCCTCCCTCAACCCTCCCGGACACCCCCTCTACACCTCCTTGTGTGCACCCTCTTGAGAAGGGAGAATGGCTGTGTTTCTGTCCTTCCGTCTGTGACTACAGAGGTGCATCTCCCTTTTGTGGGGGGGCTATTGCTTCTCTTGGGGGTGAGTCTTTGTGTTTCTGTGCGTTGGGGGAGGCGATCCTGTGGTCTGTGCTTTGGGGGAGGGGTCTGCGTATCTCTTCCTCTGGGGGAGTTTGCACTTCTGTCTCGAGGTGGGGAGGAGGGTCTGTGCATCTTCTCCCTGGAGAAGGAGTCTGCACGTTTGTGTTCTGGGACTGGGGGTTGGGGAACGGGCGGGCTTTCCTCCTGCTGACAGCCCACAGCCGCTCTCCGCTCAGCTCCAGGTGGCGCTCGGGCCGGGACGCCCGGCTCTGCCTCGGGCCCCGCCCGCCCT